CTGGGTGTTCACCGGGGCTTCAATGGGTTTTGACACATTGCCACATCCTAAAATCGGAAAAAACTTGCGACCCTGATGTTCAGCCGTCCAGGGCGACTTCTTCTCGGACCCCGGGGCTGCAGGCCTCACTTGCGCCAAGAGCGGGCCAGTGAAGATCGCGGCAGACGTCAAGCCCAACAAGGAGTAGGTTGAATAGCCATGGTTGATCGAAAATTGGGTTTTAGGGCCACTTTCTGTGACATTCCCTTCGTCTACCAGCGCTGGGTCCCTTGAAGTGGTTGCTTGTTTTGCTCTCGAAATTTTGGCCTTGGCAGCCGTTTGGATCATTGTTCATGTCACCCTCTCATGAACCACGTTGCAACTTCCCAGTACTTCTCAGATCCGTTTCGAGGTTTGGAGGAAAACGGTACCTGTTGGGTTCAAACAGGGTCGGTCGACAGCGCTGTTGCTGACTCCAGATGACTTAAAATGGATTAGGGGGGAGTTCCCCCAAGAAGCGCCGGCTTCCGCTACAAGCATCGGACACTACCCGTTTACATTATATTTATCTATATCAATATATAATATATGTTTATAGAGGTATACAATCCACCCGGGAAGTCTAGTGATTTGGGGGTCCCACTGTTCCGTCAGGGTGGTCAAAGCGACGGAAAGCCATGGCACGCCTTGTGAAACATTCGGGCCCTAACCTGATTGTGTTGCCATTGTGCTCAATGTATGAACTGGGTTCCAACTCGGACAAACCAGCAGGCCGCTTTTTGCTGATATGTTTTGGGGTTGTTCGGGAACTATTGGAAAACCACACTTTGGGATATCTGATTGCGAGACAAACCCAATTGTTTTTCTGTGAAATGCCCCTTTGGAGAAAGTCCCCCAAGTAGGATTCTTACTTACGCTGCCACGGTATGATTAAGCAGTTGCCAAGCTTGGACGGGCAGCCCTGTTTGCAGGGTCAACACGAGTGACCCAATTTTTGGAGGGCGGCACGCCAGGTTACGATTCAAAACAAATCAATCCAAGGTGGCTGTGTGTTTGGGCACTCTTTTTGGCTTCAGCCATAACTGGAGGTTTCCCGTTCCTTGTCTACTGGTGTGGTGGTGTTCGCAGTTTCGTAGTGCGTGGTTCTCTTTCTGTCTGTGTGTGTGTGTGATGTTGCATGGGTGACTTTTTGTGTGGTATTTGTGTAGTTATGTGTATTTGTGTCTATTTATTGTGGTGTGCTGGACGCTGCGCTTCTGACTGAACCAGAAGTCAACCAGTCAACGGGTTTCGAGGAGGGAGAGGACATCTTTTCAGAAGCCCGGTCCTTGCTCTTCAAGACGCTGAGGGTGAAGCGCATCTATGACCCGGAAGCGAAGAACATCCTCTATGTGGGATGGGCAAAGATCCGGAAGTAAGTACCCCCCTGCATTTCCAGGGGAACTTTATTTCGAGAAGAACGCCCATCAGCAACACAGGAAAGAGCGGATTGTGATTGAAAAAGAAGGATGGTCGAAAAGAATGGCAAATGGTTTGTGGAATGACCTGTGGCTGTTTTGGGGTTATGCCAGCCATTGCGGGGTCCTGGTTCTTGTCAGAGAGGAGGGGCAGGCTATGTCCCGATTGGTTGAGGTTGGCGCCCAGGTGCCAAGGACAAGATGGTTTCCACCCTGCAAGGGTTAAATGAGAGGTACAACCACTTTGGAATATCTATACATAAGATACATATATATATATATACCCATCTTCCTCGGGTAGTGATTTGGAAACCACCTTAGAGAGATTGTGGGCGGTGGGTGTTACCCTTTCGCCATTGGAATTTCGCAACTGTGGAGCTTTGAGCTTTTGCGTGGCCGTTTGGAGTGGCTCTGGTGGTTCACCTGCAGACTATGGAACTTGGGTTTCCTCGGGAAGTACCTGGGTCATGACTACCACTCAACTCGGGAGTACCTAAACAATGCATGGCCTCCGGAAAAAAATAAATAAATAACGAACGCTTTTGGGAGTGCCGTGAACCTCGAATGCTGGCAATGGCTCGCACTGTCGAATCGGTCTGTACCCCGTGGACCATCAAGAGACCTTTGAATTATCGGGGAGACGTCTGCCAGTTGGTTGCACCGGTTGGGGCCTTCGGGTTTATGGGGGTTGGTATTTTAATCAGAGACCCCAGCCACCCACCCTGGAAGGCTTCGGGGTTTATAAGCCCAGGGGGGGGGGGGTTGGGTGGCCAGGGGCGTATTTGTGATTTAAGCCCTCAGGTGGTGTTCACGGAGAGGCTGAACAACCAGGATGACAGCAACAAGAGCCGCTTCAAGAGTCAAGTTTGCGCTGTGCACGTGGACGGAGTCATGGACAAGTGATGGATACCCTAGATATTATTCTCCTCACTCCCTGAGTCCCTGGACACAAACCTTTTTGGGCAGATTTTGAAACGAACGGTTCGGACATCTTTGGGCCACAATCCACCAATCCACTCAGGAAGCGAGTCTCCGATGCGGCCCCCTAGGCTCCAAGTTCCTCGTAAAAAAATCGTGTCCCTTGAAAGCTTCAAGGTGCCTAGGATGCTGCAGGGGGTTACAGGCAAGCCACTCAGCCTATAGCGATGCGTGCTTGCGAGCTGCTAAGACGGCGGTTAAAAGGCGAGCGGACGAGTTTCGTAGATGCCAAACTGGGACCCCTCCATTTGATTCGAACCTAGTTAGAGGAAAGGAGGGTTCGGGGAGGGCTTTGATTCAGTACAATTCGGGCAATCATGTGGCTTTTGGCACACATGGCACACCTTTTTTTCTGCTCTACTTGTACTTTCCCACCAAAACAAATCTTGTCGGCTTTCCAAAAGAACGATGCAGGAAAGGGATAGGGGGTCAACCTGCAGGGCTGTTTTTTTTTACAATGAAGCAATGTGCACTGCCAGGCCACAGATTCTAGGTTGCCTATAATTTAGATTTAGAGAGGCAATCAAATGATGTGTTTATCAAAGGCTCACTGCATGGACCCTTGTAAGGACTTGCAGTGTTGAGGACCGCCTGCGCAAGCTTCGCGACGGGGTTCGCAAGGTATCGTGTAAATCTGTGTTGTGAGTTCGCAGACGGTTTTGCGACAGCCTTTAGCAGACGACGGTTGCTGGCTCACACTTGCAGAATTGAAGCTTGAGCAGTGCTTCAGTGGCCTTTGGTATTCCAAGATTCTGACTTTCCAGCTGGCGCTGCAAAAAATAAGCTCAGGTGATATCCCGAACAGCATGCGGTGGAACCCTGGTGGAACCCTCATGGAACCTTATGTCAGGCCCACCCTTGGCCACCCCGGAGCCTATCTGGGCTGAAACCCCAAAGCTTTCAGCTGTTGGGAAAGAAATCACTTCGAGAACTTTCAAAAGCTGAAGCGTTGCAGCTTACGAGCTGGAGCTGCGCAAAAGACTGATCGATGCCCATGAAGTGTCTCGATCAAAACCCGGGGATTGGTGAAGGTTTTCGGGATGCTCCCAACCATAATAGCTGCGGAGAATTATCCGCCTTCTTACTTCTTGAAGCATGGTTCTGGGTAGATTATCATACCGGGTTTTGATTCTGACTTACATGAAGTCTGCTCGCTATGAAAAGAGATCAATCGAATTTGGGGCTCCGGCAAGCCCTAGCCCGCCAAAGGTGCAGCTTGTTTCACAAAAGGAGCAGCACAGGAACATAAGTCCAGGGAGTTCTCCAATAGCCTTCAGGCGAGGACTTAAATGGCCACAAAGATGTCCCAGTTGGCATCGCAAGACGAGTGCATCCTAAGCCTTTCTTCACGGCATCCCATGGCGCTTCCTTCTAACACCAATTGTTTGAGGTTGCTTATTCCCCAAACACCAAATGAACTGAAGGTTATTCATTCCACCAACACTAATTCAAAGGCAAGTCTGACCTTCCAATTGGACGAAACGTGGTTTGAGGCGAAAAACGTGGAAGTCCTTGTTTGAATAAAGCTTGCTGGTGCTCAGTACCTGCATCTCTTGAAAGTTAATAATTCCCACTCCAAAAAGAAAAAAGTACTTTCTTCCATGCTGGAGTGATAATTTTCACTCCGTGTTAAAATGCCCGTTCGGGTAGTTCCGACTGCTCAGGCATCCGTTCGGACCCGTTCGGAACCCGTTCGAAACCCGTTCGAAACCCGTTCGAACCCGTTCCAACCCGTTCGTACCCGTTCGGAGCCGATCGGACCCGTTCGGAGGTACGTAAAAATTACGCCAACATTACGCAACAAGCCTTTTATAATTTATGTGCAGTGCTGATTTATGAACACTTCGATGGTGGTGAAAATATCCGTTCAAGAGTAGAAATACCCGTTCGAACGTGGAAATACCCGTGTCCTCAGGCCAAAAAGTACTTTTTCAATTTTGGAGTAGGAATTCTGAACTTCCAGGAGATCCAGGTAGGGAATGTGGGAATGGACCCAGGTGTCCTCCTAAAGGAAACCACCAGTTGCATGGTTCATAAGGGTCATTCCCCCATTCCCTGCCTATCGCACCAGCAAGGAAGTTTCTCGCTTTGAACGACCGCTGGTCTTTATCCCCCAGTCCGACCTGGACCTTCCTAAAGCATGGAAATCCACGGACGGACTTAGGCGAACGCTCCCAAAAAAAGTGCCCACGGTGGGCCCAGGAATGTCCTCATCCCTATTGGCAGTTCAAGGCGAAAACAGTGGAAGTCCATCCACATCCCCCCTAAATCCTCCAAACTTGAATCCTCATTCCAATCCTCCAATGTGGCTGTGGCTCAAAAAACCGGTACCAACATGGAACTAAGTGGAAACATGGACCAGAACCTGCGGTTTGCCCCTCCTGCTTAATTTTGAGCCACACCCACATCGCATGGAAGAGTTTCATTCGCTTGTGCCCAGATATCAAGTCATGGAATCATTATCTCTTTGCAGCTTGATCAGCTTGAGGACTTTCCCTTTGACCATGACAAGTGCGCTAAACCGAAGACCATGTCTTCATCCCTCCCAGTTTCTTCGGTTCCCCGAGACTCGAAAAAACAATTGAGGCCCCGAGGCGCTGGCGCGGGCGGCTGGAGGCCAGCGGGATATCCAGCGCGCGTTTTTTTTTTTTTTTTTAAATCCCGCTTTGGGGGCTCCCTTCAAAGCCCAACCCAAAAAAGGGGTACCGCATTTTAAACAAAATGAAAGACGGACCCAAGAGATGGCGACTTTTGATGACCCGGTCTTATTTAGGTTGAAAAAATGCTACCAATGTACAACAAGGACACCGGGTTGAGCGTATTGATTCCAACAAGGTAAGAGAAACAGAAACATGAATAGAGCAGCACGTCTCACTTGCCCCAAGCGAATCAGCCCGAAATGACCTTTTGGTTTCCCATGTCGGCAACCATTCTTTGGGCCACAATTGGCTACCTGTTTTTCCCGGTCGTTTGGATGACTGGGTTTCTCCAGCGCGGAATAAATTTGAACCCCAGTTGCTGAATGGCACCCTTTTTCCCTTTTGTGTTTTGTTCACGTGTTGTTTCATCATGTGGCAAAACGGCCGAATGGCCGTTTGGCTCAAGTTTTGCCCTCCCGTCAGGGGGGTCACGGATTCTTTTTGCGCCAGCCATAGTGCGGCTGACTGCTTCGCCGTCGGGAAAAGGCTCCTGACGTCGCCGTGGTTAGGCACTGGGAGGTGGGCGGAGGATCTCTGCGTGATCGTCCTGGGCTTGGACACAAACTTCCCTTCTTCAACCTGTTTCCCAACCTCCCCAAACTTGATCTTCATTAACTGTCACTCCCACAATCTGGTCACCGGCACCTTCTACATTGTGCATTGGGACTGGGTTCTTTTGGTACTTCGTGAACCACGTGTACCTCTTTGATTCCCTGGGCTACTTCGTGTTCGCCCAAAACCGCAGGTTATCAGCCGTACCAGCTAGAAGCTGGGGCTGGTGATCCGGTTGCGGGACGTGACCCGCTACCTGCTCCCATCGCCTACTTGTACGAGCAATGGCGTCCCCCGGAGCTTCTCATCGTGGGCCGGGCTTCGTGGACGACGAGGCCAACGCCCTTCGCGGCAACGCCGCGCCTGCTGCCCCCGGCTTAGACAGCCGGCTGTGGCCCATTCCCCCGATGGTGGGCGCAGAGCCCAATCCCGGGGTGATCACGGACGATTGGATCCTTTCTCAGGTTGTGTTTGATGAGGATGCGGAGGCCCCTATCCCGGCGGCAGTGCTCCAGATCGAGGACGGACCCCCTCTAGAAGAGGCTGAGGTTCCTCCAAATCAGGTGCCCTCATCGATTTCGCCTACTGTTCCGTTCGTGGCGCTCCAGATCGAGGACCGGGCTGTCCATCATGCTGCTCATCCGGAGCCGGCTCAATCATGGTCCCTTACATGGGATCAGTTTGACCAACTCCTCGGCAGTGGATCGCAGGCTACACCGCCTGATTTCGGTCGGCTCGACTTTAACTCGGGTGCCCCCGTTTCGGTTGGGAATCTGGATTTTCAATCCCTTTTTGATGCTGATTGGAGGTCTCAGCCTTCCCGAATTGACAGATCCTTTGATGCCCTGCCTACGCATGAGCCTACTCAGGGTTTTCCTCATGATGGAGAAAATGACCCCATTGAAGATTTCTCCCCTTCTCATGTTGCAGGTTCGGCCCAACCCGAGGTGGGCAAACGGGCGATTGAGGATTGGCCGCAAATAGCTGGCCCTCCTCCCGTCTCAGGTTCATCCGACATTGACATCATTCACGATCACCCCAGTCCGGCGGATATGGACTTCATCTCTGATGCAGTATCATCTCACCTGTCAGGTACCCGTGACCGGAATGCGGACCGCTACAACGCTGGTCCGAATCCACCGCTTTCCTCAGGTACCCGAGGTCGGGATGCGAACCGCTACAACGCGGGCTCAAATCCGCCAAATCGGACATCAGGTACTAGTCGATCGGATGCGGGCCGCGAAACAGCAGGCCCAAATCCTTCCTCCTCTTCGTCAAGAAGCCATGCCGGTCTCTTCGCGGCGTTCAATCGGCGTCAGACTCGAAAAGAGTCCGCCCCCGACGTCATCGACCTCGAGGAGCAGTCCAGCCACCGTACCAGCGATGGATCCGAGCAGGATACACCTGGTATTGGCTCTACTCCATTTGACCTCCTCGACATCCCCTTCCATCAGCCACCCAGGAGAGGAAATGAAGATGATGAAACCATTCCTGGGATCATTGATGTAATCAATGAGGCCGAGGTCACACCAGAGAGACGAACTACATCGCTCCCGCCGAGCCGCGTTGCCAAAGTACTTTCCCCTAAGCCACTCAATGGTGACGTTGCTCAACGGCTTGATCTCACTCAACCTAATCCAGATCAAGCTCAACTTCGCGGATCATCATCATTTGATAATGTATCGGGACAAACCGGCACTGACTCACGAGCCACAAAGAGGAGCTCTGAGTCACCCGAGAGACGTGAAGCTGCTCTGCGACTGCGATCTAATCCCCCAGCTCATCACGATCCTATTGACGTTCCTATACACTCTGCGGGGTCTGGGCTCAGCTCCAATGCCCCGATGTCTGAGAAGGAGACTGATGACGGGATTAACTCTACGCCTAGGAATCGGAGACCTGGACTTAGCACTGTTGCCCCTGGATATGGAGGGCTTCCTTCGAATCAACCGGTCAACGACTCCGTTGTCCCCGCATTCTTTCAAATCGGAACTCCGGGCTGCACTCCCGACAGGGAAGAGAATAGTCGCGGAGATCATGACGCTGATAGTCGTCCTGCTCCGTCTGCTTCCACAAGTGGCGGCCATCCTGTTGCATCTGAGCTTCAACGACTGCTTCTCGCGATCCACGACGAGGTCAAGGGGTGCAAGGCCGAAATCCAGGGATGCAGAGCTGAGATTCGTTCATGTAGGGATGATATCAACGCTTGCGTCGGTGAGATCAAGAAGATCAATAACCGTGTTGACGCCTTCGAAAAGAAGGTTGAATCATCTTTCTCTGCCGTTGCCGGAACTCTCTCAAAACACGAGGCTAAGTTCCGTGATTTCCACGAGTGGGTCGCCCGAAGCGAGAAGGAGATGAATGAGCGTTTCAAGATGTATGATGAGAGATCTGACTCGATCGTCATATCCGCTGCTGAACTTCGCGAGCAGGCCGAATCACTTGAGAACGTCAAGGTCCAGCTTCTTAGGTTTTCTGAGATCGGGGCCCTTGAGGCTGAGGTTCGGAAGATCAAAGACGAAGTTGAGGCGAACTCTCGCAGTGTCATCGACATTGAGGGAACCATCTCAAGAGAAAGAACCATCCGTGGGAACGTCGAGACGTATATCCAGCATCTCGTTCCTGCGACCGACCTGAAGCAGTTCAGTGATAAGGTATCCGGAGCCCTCAATGAGAACTCACAGAAACAGGAAGAATTCAAGCTTCAATTGTCCCGCATTGCTAGATGCGTCAAGGACCTTCATGACAAAAGCTTAGGCCCCAATCCGAGGGACATGCAAGAGCAGTTTATGAAGCTTGTGCTGAGGGTCAATGAGATCAACATGCAGATCGCTGAATTGAGGGAGCAACCTCTTGCTGCCTATGGATCCTCAAGTGCTGGCGCTGGTTCGACCGCCGGAACGGGATCATGGGAGAAATCTGGAGACACTGATCCCTTAACCCAGGGAAGGGCTCCTAGAGGTTCTCCTCCTCGTGACGCTCGCACCGTCAGCTCGGCGAGGCCTCCTCCACCTCCACCTCCTTCGGGGCCACCCCTACCATCACCATCAGCCCCCATCTTCGGCAGGGATCCCTCTAGAACGAGGGCCATTGCTCGGGCTGCCGGCGCTGCCCCTGATAACCGGGCCAGGTGTGCTCATGAGGAGCCCGGGCATCCACAGCATCGGGAACCTCGCTATCCATGCCGAAGCTGCGGCAAGTCAGTCTGCGAAGACTGCTTTGACCATGACTGTAACTCATGTTTCAAGTGCAGCGATCAGTTTCCTAGATGCCGCGCATGCAGAGGAAGAGGGGGGAGACACGGACTTGTGAGGTGTCTCATATGCAAGGACGAGTACTGCGATCAACACATCGCTTCGCCTGACGATGTACGTCGTTTTGGGTCGAGTGTTCGACCTATTTGCCTCGGTTGTCTGAGAGCTGATCCCGACGGGAAAACTAAGCATCGCGGCCCCAGTGCGGGGCCTGGAGGACCTGATTGCATTCCTGATCATAATCAGCGGGATGGCACTGCTCCTGATCCTGGATCCGGGCCATCACGTGGAGATCCGTCACATCGGAGTCCTGAACCGCACCAAGGGAATTCTGGTTTCTGTTCCCACGCCGGAGCTGCCGGGCCAATGCCACCAAGGGCAATGTCTTCGCCCGTAGTCGGACGAGCAGTTCCGAGGGGGACCATCAACACGTACCCCGGATGTTCCCCTACAGGGGGGATTTTCACCGGTCAGGTTGAGCATGGAACGTCTCAGGGAGTCATTCGCGGGAGATACGGACCTGACGCTGCTGTGACAAATCAGCAGAATCCACAGCCTCACCACGGAGCACAGGATAACTCTGGCGGGCCAACTGGTTTTTCTCTTCCACCAGGACTCGGTAAGGGTGTGCATGGCGTCGGTGGCGTCGGCGGTATTGGAGCTCCCGATATTCGCCGATCTTCCGCTGAGGAGAGGGTCTGCCCTCGGTGCAACATAAATGTCAAGACCAGCATCCCCGGGACACCTCCATGCTTTCAAACTTGTTCGTTGTGCCGCACTTCTCTATGCGCCGCGTGCTGCCCGCCATCGTCCGGGAGTTGCTCTCTGTGTGCCATATCCATTGGCAGAGACGGCGTTTTACCTCCCCATGTTTTTGGGCAGGCTACTCGACCGCCCTTAACTTCGTTGCCATCTGAGGCGAACAAGTGCGCCAACATAGAGCTCGAAAAAGAGCCCGCACCGCATGAGTTGCGAGACTGGATCATTTCCACGAGAGAAATCGTGAGCAACGCATTCAGCTATGACTCGCCATATGCCATGTCTTGGGTCATGAGTGTCGAGAACGCCAGCGCAATAGAGGAACTTGATGAGGAGTGCCTCTACCCGATCC